TTTTTCTTCTTTACCTTTTGTAAAAGACCAAAAGAGAGACACTGGCTACTTTGACAATCTTCAAGCAGACTCTAGGAATGTCACCAACAGCATGATCTTTGTGACCAGATGCAGCCACCAGAACGTAATCATTTTCCTCAATGGAGTTGGAGCGGCGCTCATTGCTTGAACAGATGCCCGGCAGAATTTGCCTGCCTGGCTTCAGCCCCTACTTTTTCCAGCACAATTCTCTTTGCACGGGCAGCGCCCCCAAAGGGGTTGGCCCGGAGGGCTGCGCCCAGGCGGGTTTTCTTGCGCTGCTTCTCATGCCACCTCGGGTCCTGCGGGTGGCTACGGAGCTCAGTCGTGGCAGCTCAAAGACCATGACACTCACCCACCCTGCGGGCGCTGCAGGCCTGAGCACAAGAGCAAGTCAGGACGGGGTCTTTGGTTAATTTGTTGGTGAATATTATAAACACTCAAAAAAAAAAAAAAAAAAAGAGGGAGAGAAGAAACACAAAAGGTTTAGTGTTGAAACGTGAGCTTAGCAGGTGTACCAGAAATCTCTCTGCTTTCTGCTCGGGGGTGGGCTGGACCCTGAAGTGCTGCTTCTTTGCAGCGAGCGCTCCATTAGGTCTTGTCAATAGAAAACGCTGGAAGGACACGTCTCCGGCTCTAGTTCTTCCACCCACTTGCCCACCCAGGAGGAGACGTGCTGGAGGCGGGTGGCACCCGGGGCCCAGATCCCCTTTGCCAGCGCTGCGCCCCGCCCCCGTCCCCGGCTGCTGTGACTTTGGGCTGATAAAACCCCGTATCTGTCCCCTTGGCTGGGGACCTGCCCTCCGCCAACAGGCGCTGCCTTTACCTGCCCGGGAGGCTCCGTTTCCATCCCTAGAAACTGTGTCAATGTTTCGTCACAACGGCCAGGCAGCAAATGTCTGTTGTTCCCACTGTGTCCACGATACCACCTTCCCCTCATGGCATTTCCAGCCCAGAGGGAAGCCCGGACAGACTCGCAAGCACGCAGCCGTGGAGACACAGAGCTGAAGATGCTGTTCCTTAGATAAATACTCACGCAGTGCCTCCCACGGGTCAGGAACTTTTCTGAGAACTGGGAGAAAGAGAAGACATGTTTCTGTGCTCGAGGGGCCTTACAACTGGGGAAGAAGGGAAGGACTAGAACGTGTATGCTTATTACTTAATTCTTTTGTCTTACTATCTAAAATAGTATTAAATAATAATGGTTATACAGGCGTCTGTCTCTTGACTAAAACCGAAATACTTTTATCGTTTCCCTATATAAGACAATATTTGCTGGCCGGGTGCGGTGGCTTCATTTCTTTAACCAATTACAAATTAAAGAATCTTTAAACCCACCTATAACCTGTAAGCGCCCCCCCTCCACCCCCAGATGTCCCACTTTTTCAGGCCAAACCAATGTACACCTTCCCTGTATTGATTTATGACTTTGCACGTAACTCCTGTCTGCCAGAAACGTATAAAACCAAACTGTCACCCAGCCACAGACAGTCCACTTGCTCAAGGCTTCTTGGGTCTGGCTCCGGGCCATGGTCCTCAAACTTGGCTCAGAATAAACCTCTTTAAATTATTTTACAGAGTTTGGGTTATTTTTTGGTTGACATCGCCTATCAAGAAACCACGAAGAAATGCGTGTGTCCACGTCTCTGATAGATTTTGTACTTTAACCACCGTAGTAAATTGGCATTTGTTGGGGAAATAGAATTAAAAACAAAATCTCCTCCCATTCCAAAAAACCTCTCCACAAAGAAGAGAAAGAAAACACTGTTGTGACTGACTAAACATTAAAGCAGAACTCGATGCCGATCTCAGGCAATCCGACAAAGAGATTGCAAAGGCAGGAAGAAATCTCAGCTGTAGCTAAGTGGATGCAACACATCGCATTCGGTTGGCTTTGTGAACTGCAGTCAGGTGGTAACCAAAGGTAGCCCATTGCTCCCGGGAGGCTGGGAGACAGGGAGTTGTCTTCCCTGATGACTACATTTCATTCAGTTGAGCCTAGACTGAGGCTGGGCTGCAATAAGCCTTCTGCCCTAACTACACGACCAAGCCTGTCTGATGTGTGTTGCGGGGCCTCTCTGTTACCAGGTTCTGGCCGGAACAAATAGTAATTCTCCCAGCAGCCTTGAGCATTCTCAGGTGGACACTTCAAGGCAGGATAGGGTCAGCTTAGGGGTGCAGCCTTGAGCGGTTAGAAACTACACTGGTGTTTGTGTAAGGCTTTTAGTAGGGGGTCGGGTGGAGTGGATGAAATCATTTGTGCTGGGACTGAAGTCTTTAGGAACGAAAGTCGAAGCATCATCAAATAGAGGGTTAGAGGAGCCATTCTGAAATTTGGTCAAGAAGAGAGTCTTTGTCACCTTTCAATATTTGTTCAAATGTTTCACTTAGCTCACTTTAAAAAGACACCATCGAAGACTGATACTCGGTTGTTAGAAAACCTGGGTCTTCATTTTTAGTTTTGGTTCTTGTGGTTTTTTTTTTTTTCTTAATAAGATCACCAGGGAGTAGGAAGAGGGTTTTGCCTAAGTTATCTCAGCTCTTTGTGTAGCTTTTAAGTTCATCTTTCAAGACTCCTGCACCAGATGGAAGACTTTACAAGCCGGAACGACCTTGAGAAACTTCCTCCAGCCATGGCTGGGCCGGAGCAGGTGCGGTTCAGAATAACCTCCGGGGGGGGCGGGGGTCGAGCTTTGATAGGCAACAGGCCACGCTTTAGCTGTCCCAGCCCGGGCAGACGCGCTAAATCAAAACGAACTGTTAATGATGGCGGTGTCGGCGCCACTCTGTTGGGGAAACTAAAAGGCAGAGAAACGAGGCTCCAACAGCTGTCGGTAATTGGGTCACCGCCTTCCCCCGAGCCCGGGCCGCCTCCATCCACGTCAGCGCCTACTGTCCTTCACGGCCCTGCTGCCAAAACGACCGGCCTTTGCCAAGATGTTGGGCTGGAGGAACACACGTTCTTTTGGGAGAAGCTGCAAGTCCTTGAGAGAAGCACAAAAGGAGGACGCGAGTCCACACGTGGAAAACAGTAAAAATGGCCTGACCCTCATTAAATAGAACCGCAGGCAGAAGCAGCAGCTGGGCGGTGGCCGTGGTCTGCCCTTCTCCTACCGCGGGCCGTGCACACTTCGGGTGGAGGCTGGCTCCCCCCACAAGCTTTGATGTGTCCCAATTTGTTGTCTTTTCTTGCAAAATGAGCA